CCATATTGCATGAACTGAAATCAAATTCGAAAAATTATAAAATCCAAAGGATGAGTCACTCTCGACGAAAATCACGTTTTCTCGTGATCGTTCATATATTTACGATTAATCTGATAAACTCAATTTCAATACGTTCAAGAGAATTATTTCAATGCCAATCGCGAGCTTGCAAATTAACATTACACATTCAGGATTTCTATTGACACGTGTCTAGCTAAATATTTGCATTTAAAATGATTGAACAGTGCGTTATGAATAGCTAGTATGCAATACTACGCATATTGTAGAACACTAACAGTGTTACAAAATAATAAATAAGTTCACTGTTTCAGCAATCGATTGAACAGAATAACGATTAGATCCAATCAAATCAATATCATCAGTAAATATAAACTGATCACTGAAAGCGTCATATCAATAAGATAGCAAAAGAAAAAACAGCATGAGTGCTTCCATATGTTTACTGTTTGTTTCTATGCATAGCAACATATGCATTAGAGCTAGCAACGAGCAGTGTATTTCATCATACGAAGTTTAATATCGCTATCATACGAAAGCAACGACACCTCAGGTCTTTGAATGGGGTCAGAGGTGCTGCCTGAGGCCAGTAATTAACCTCAAAGAAGAAGGGGAACTGTTAAAAGCCAAGAGAAATTTAAAGAATCATGCGCAGACGACGAATTAGAAGTGTTAAAATTGTGGAAAAGTTCATCTATTGCAGATGGTTGCAGTGATTTCGTGTAATTCATTGTCATCATTGGTTTTGTTCACGATATCATTTGTGCATTTTTCTTAGCGAATAGCGTTTTCTCTACTGAACAGCTGGATTTCTATCGTTATTCTCGTTTATTTCATCGTAACGTTTTGAGTTTCGCAGTGTGGCGATTACGATAATCCCGCACGAATTATATTACGTCGTTAAGTTAAGGTCGCAGTTACTCTGTCTTTAGCTAATCTTATCCACGCAACGTGATCATAACTGCACTGGTGAAGTTAATTTGAATGAGGTCAGAAGTGCTGCCTAAAGCCAGTGATTGATCGCAGTTTAGAAGGGGAAGCATCCCGGCGAAATTTCATGTCGTCGCTTCGGTCGGAATCCGTCCGAATCCACATTTCAACAGTCTGACAGTCGGAATTCCATCGACCTTCCAGATTGTTCGGTCGGAATCCGAATGTCTCAATTCTGATCGAAATTGTCGGATTTTTCCGACTGACCATCGGCCGAATGTCATCATTAATTGAAGTTAAATCGTTGAACTGTCGTATTTTTCATTTGACGAAGGATGTGGTCACTGCGGGTTTATTGCGCTATCATTATTATTTGTATTGACATTGTTATATTGAGCAATTTTTTGCGTGTTATTGCCGTGATTTTTGTTCGGTGCGGAAAAAATTAGAAAAGGATTCAGAGTTGACAATGGATCCAGCACTCTTGAAGCAACAAGCCGCATTCAAGCAGCGTGCCGCTCGAGCCGTCGAATTGGCCAGTCGTAAACACGAATCCCCGTCCACCTCGCTGAGTTCACATACCACTTATGAGTAAGCTTTAAATTATACGAGTAAGTCTTTTCGTTTATGCTTTCTAGCAGCTTCAGCATTCAGCATTTTTCCACTTACAGTTAATATTTTCTATCTGAAGAAGAGAAGTAATTTTCCAAATAACACAAAATTTCGTTCCTTTAAATAAATTTTCAAGAAATGGATGACATTCTTATCAGGAAATAGATTGAAAGATGATTTTATGAAATTTCAGTGCCGAAGCAAGCCGTAAGAAGAAGAAACGACAACAAGCAGACCCGCAACTCGCTGCAAAATGTATATTGTACTCGGCATTTATTATGTTTCGTCAAGTCGACTTTTTATCATTTTTATGGACGGAAATTTGATGAGAAGTGATCAGTAGAAATGCCTAACTAGTAAGACCTGTAGCGATTACTGAGGATAATAGAGAGCAAAGTTTTCGTCACAATCAGAAAAATTCAGTTAGATTCTCAGAATGTGAATTTTTTGCTTCGTTCAGCCCTAAGCGAATTCAACTACAAGGCAGCGCAATCGTCAGCGAACGCCGCCAACTTCGGTACAATGGCAAAGATCGTTGATTATATGAAGGTTGGCCTGCGCTTCTGTACTAATTTTCATTTATTAACGATTGAATTCCTGCAATCGGTTGATAAACACAATCAGCTCTATGTTCTAGAAACGTCACCTCACCGCTC